AGCTTTACATAAATGATTTTGTTTTTGTATTAATTTATTTTATTTCCGTGTTTTTACTTTAAATTATTTTTAATTTGTGCATTCTAGTTAGACAGTTAACCACTCTTGATCTTGTTTCCTTACACACATACCCATTTCATACATACACATACCCATATATAATTATATATAATATATAATGTAGAATGTTACATAAGCATATTTATGTTATATATATTTATGTGATATTTATATATATTTATGTTACATAAATATATATATGTGCATGTATAAGTTACTTTTATATATACACATAAATATATCTGCTACGATTAACTATGTGTTTAGGTGTTAATTTACACTACATTAAAAATTAAGGCTTAATTTAGTTATATGTATCCATGCTTTCAAAAAGGGCATATTAATAACTCCCCTTGATTCATATCAGACCAATAATTCCAAAGAGTATGGTAACATTCAAAGAGCTGTTAACATTTTAATCATTGCAGCTTAAATCATTATTTTATCTATAAATCTTGAGTGACCACTATCAAAGCGGCAAACTGAAAATAATATAGAAGTAAAGGCAATCGATCTATCAATAAAAATAACTGAACGTGAAATATGTGTGCATTAGTTACATTATTAAGCTGTTATCAAAGTTACTTGGGGCTTTTACTTTCTTAGTTTTAATTATCAGTGCTGCGATAAAGGACAGCTTAATTCTTCTAATACACGATATTGTCTGGGCTTCGATCAGAGTCAGGAATATTTCAAAAAAAAAAAAAAAATGAAATCTCACTTTATATGCAAAGAAATGGTACAGAGTTTTAGGATCGTGTATAAAAAGTCAATATTGGCGGGGGGAGGAGAACAGCTTTGCCATTCCTTAATTTTATTTTCGCATTCTTCCTGCTGTTATACGTCTGTTAGAAAGATGGAATGCCGGTTAGTTATCTCGATATCGTTTTTTGGAATTGCTGAAAGGATATTAGAATGGCGCTTTTTAAAGTGAAATTTCACATGACTAAATGTAATCAAAATTTTGAATGTGACATTTGATTGGCAGAGTTCCTTTTTTCTCTTCAATATACTTTGATTAATATACGGTTATTTTTAAAGATTGTATTTAACAAACTGACATTTTTTTTTTTTTTTTTTTACTTTTTTTTTTTTTTTTTCGTATTAAATTATTTTTGTTTTGAATATTTGGCTAGTTAATTACTTCGAACATTTAAAAATTTCTGCAATAACTCTAAAGAACAAATATTTATTTAATTATTTATTTGTCACGTATTCCAAAATACACGCATTTGAAAGAATTCCCTTTTCTGAACGAAAATATAGAAGGAGAAATTTCCTATGTCACAAAGAAAGTTTGTGGCAAATTCTTTAGCAATTATCAGTCCTTCATTTCCCAGAAAATATTTTCAAGCTTTTCTTCGGAGTTATACATATTCTTTATTTCTGTGTCAATTAAATTATATTTCTGATTCAGAAGTAATATTCAGCTTTATAGCCAGATAAAAATATCTGTTTTGATTATTACAGTTATGTTACTTATTTGTCTCTCTAACCCAATCCATTGATTGAACAGAGTGTGACTTATTTTAATGCGTAATAAGAACTGCTAGAAAATTTTCAGCATTTACGAGTGTTTCCAGACGATATTAAAAATTCCATAAGTTGGGTACGCTAACTTTGATTAATGCGTTGGGGCAGTTAAATTCTTTTTTGTCCTTGTTGTTTTCATTTGAATGTAAAAGTAGTATTTTCTGTAGGATAATTTTAATTATAAGGAAAATAGCAATTGTATTTAAATTTCCTCAAATATTAAATTTTGCAGGCTGGGTGTTTTATAGGATTACTACGTTTTCATGCGTATTTTTAACTTTTGCTGCATAAGATGCTGTATTGATATGGGAATTAATTTCTGATGCCTGGAATTATGACTTGATTTGGTTAATGAAAACTTTAATTAATTTATGAAAACAACTCACAAATGTAAATACAGCTTTCCTAGTGATTTAAATTTTAGTATGCCATAACATTAAACTTCCTTATCCAATATGTTTTTTGAAAGAGCTACATATATCATCAAGTAATGCCAAAGAGTGAACGCAATTAGAAAGTATGGATAACACCAAAAATCTGAATGCATATCTGAAATCAACATTTGGAAAATCATAAGAAAGCTTATTTATTCTCTTGCTAAATGTTTGTCAACTGATCCGTTTCACTTTTATTTTACGTTCCTTCCAAGCAAATTCAGAATTATCGCACTTAACAAGCCTCTATGCATGATCCTTGAAAACTGTTTCAATTCTATATGTTTCTTAGAAAAAAAAAAAAAAAAAAAAAAGATTCATAATTTAGTGGTAATTCTCGTCATGCAAATTACAAGATCTGAACAGTGGAGCTTTCTAGCTGAATAAGAAATTATGTCTGTCTGTTAACTTAAAGAAAAAGTATTAACAATAAATAAATAAATAAATAAAAGTAAAAAATCTGAAAGCCTTTCAGATTTTATATTCTCCCTAAAGGGGCGTTTTTTTAACGTTTTATGTGTTATCTTTATTTATTATATATCATGTTCTTCACATTTAAACCATAAAATTCAATTAAGCAGCAATAGCACAAAATATTTAAAAAGAGCGTATCTTTAGAATTTCCGACACACAGTCTCGCGCGCTAAAGACATTTTTTTTTTTTTTTTTTTTTTTTTTTTTCCGTACAGTGTTGCTATTGCTAACTTTGAAATCATTGAGTTTGTTAATCAATAATTCGCTAAAATTTTACAAAATATGAAGTAGATAATAAAACGAATTCTAAATTCTCGAAAATATTGGCCTTTAAGATGCCAATATTCGAGTGGAGAACTCTGATATTCAAAATTTAATGTCTCTAGATACCGTTGAAAGAAATGCGAGAAATAGACATGCATTCATGTAAATTCTTCATTATTTAATTTCTTTAAACATAATGCAGGGCTCTAATAATTGGTGGAAACAATTTGAAAGGTGGTGCGCCGTTTTATAGTGGATGACGCAAAATGCAAAAACAAAATTAATATTCTGGGCAAACTGCCAATTTGGGCTAAAAAAGAGGGAGAGGAAACTAAAAGAAAGATTTATAATGAAAACTAATTATACGAAGTAACTTATGACCTATACTATATTTTCATCAATAATGAAAAATGAAATGAGGATTCAAGCATGAGATGAAAATGGGAGACCAAAAGTAAATACAGAAAAATTTTGAATAGAATTACGACATTTTTTTACATTTCTTTTCCGTTTCAAAAAAAAAAAAAAAAAAAAAAAAATTACATTCTTTTTTTGTTACAACAATTTACATTCTTTTTCTTAAATTAAACACCACAACTTCACTACAAAAATCGTCTAAATTATAAAATTTACTTTAAAAGAAACTATGAGTTTAGTACATGAGAACCAACCAATACTAATTTATTATGCAGTTTAGAAGGGCAATTGCAAATCAATTCCCGTACCAGTTTGTAAATAGCTCAAGGAATTAGCAAATATTTTATGTAAAAACTTAAACCCTGCATTGCAAAAATATTACACAAAAATTAATTTTAACTGTTTATAGATTTCTGTGAATAACTTAATTATTTTCACCCCCCCCAAAAAAAGATTAGGTTTGGTTCGAATGTGAAATTTAATTAGAGTAAATATACAATTAAACTACATCGTATGAAATACGAAGAGACATTATTGTTGGATAAACAACAAACAAGTTCCGCTTAGCAAAAAAGAAACTGAAAGAAACATAGGCTTAACATATTAAGAAAAATTACTGAACACAAGTCATTTTGATCATAATATTTTCGTTTAAAAGTCATCATAATATTTTCGTTTAAAGGAGTTACGTTTTCCAAACTTTTCTAATTGATATAAATTAGTAAGAAATTCGAGACTGAAGGAAACATTTATGCCTTCTTTACTTTTTTTTGATATTCATATTATCACTGTTATCAAAGTTCTAAACTGAGAGCTTTCAGTTATTTGCATTTAGCGCCATTTACTATAAGAATTCCGCAATCACTCCCAGATAATGTTAAACCAAAATTTAATCTAAGCCATTACAAGTCGAAACTGTAATTTAGCAATTTATGGAATATTACTATTTGGAACCTTAAAAAAAATGCATGACTTTCCAAAATATTATTTCGAATCATTTTAGAATTTGAGAAATATCTATTTATTTCCCAAAACGATTATTTCTATACTAACTAGATGTTTCACGTCTCATAACTGCCACCCATATCTCGTTGTTTATATCTCATTATTCCCACTGCTTACTCCTCATATTATCTTATTATTAATATCATGTACTTATTAGTTTAGCGCAGAAAGAGAAAAATGGCAATGCTTTTTTTTTTTTTTTTTTTTTTTTTTTTTTTTTTTTTGCTTTAAGCAATTGTAAATTCATTCATGAAATATGGAGGGAGCATTCCTGGTTCTGTTTCTAACTAGTCACATTAAAATCATGAATATCGATGAAAGTAAGCGGGCCAGAATCTTCCACTACTGCGTTCTAAGTTGAGCCAGTTCTCAAATTCCGATGAACATTAAAATGAAAGAGACTATACTAACAATATTTATTATTGTTGCGTATATAATATAATAATAATGAATATTGTAAGTGATAATGAACTTTTCAAATTTAATGAAAGAGAAAAAATATTTCTTTGAATTCCAGCCATATGACTAAAAAAAAAAAAAAAAAAACCTGTTAAAGCTATAGTATCTTTCCTCTAAGCCGTGTACAATACACATCGGTTCTTTTACTGTCAGGATATAAAATAAGTTCATGGGGAATTTCCCATAAGTTCATGGGGAATTTCCCATTAGTCTCTCAAGGATAAAAAATAAATAAAATAAGTAAATAAAAATAAAATTGATTAAATGAAACATTGTTCTTTATTCCGGATGCTAATATTCATAAGCGTAAAAAAGACTAAAAATCAAATAGGTAAGTATGAAATGAATCCTTACTTCTGGCATGCACGCTGAAATCGATGGCACCCTCTGCTTTACCTCTATGTCCCACAACGTCTTGAATATCACCTATGTTCGGCCTTCGTACGACATCCCTGCTGGCATTCAAAAGTCTCTCAATACTGTACAATGAGAATCTGTTAGGCTGCCTGTCAATGGTTGGCCTTGAATCTTCCATTTCAGAGCACAGGAAGTTCCAAATATTGCTTAAGTTTTATGCTTTTCTAGTACATTGTTTTATTTTACGTGTTTGGTGAACAGATGATTCCATAGCTATGTGGGCTCCGTCTGTGAACATGGTAAACTGATGCATCTACGGAAGATTTGGAAGCTTGTTAAATGCTAGAGCCAAGAAGTTTTATTCCGAGATACTGCTTTCTGGAAAAATAGTCAGTGTTATATACATGTTCTTCGAAGTACACGCAGATTTCTAAGAATTTTTTCTCAACGTGATGGAACAATTCTTGTAAATTTGCTTCAAGGGTTAAGAATGAAGATCTTCCATTTGATTTGTCACAAAGAAATTAGGATGTTTTTTCTGGTAAAAATTCTCTAGAATTTCTTCAGAACGTAGGAAGGAGAGGAAGGTAGTTACTTGAAAATTTTTCATGCGATGTAAAACAGTTCTTGGTAAATTTCATCTGATTTCAGAACTGTCATTCAAAGCTATCCCAATTAATCAAAGCTAGCAAACATTAGAAATTACCAGCGATTGTCATATTATTATATCTTAACTAATACTCGAGGATAATTCTCGTAACAAAACAAATAAGCATCTTCAACATAATAGAAAAAGGAAATAAATTTCCGAAGAAGTTTAACCGGATGTTAATTTCCTATGAAGATTATCGTAGGTGTCACCGTTTTAGAAGTTCGTCGGTGTGCAGATGAAATGGTAAAAATGTGAAGGAACTGTCGCAAGTGTCACTGCTTGTCGTCCGAAAGACATTTTACAACTGATTCAGTCGTAAACGGTTGGGGAGGAAGGGGAGCAGTGCCACGGATGGATGGTTGGACGGACAGCTGGAGACACCCCCCTCCAACAGAGCAGGACAGGGGAACTATCCGGTTAACGCAATTATCCTTCGAAACGAAACCTTGAGTACCGATAATGAAATGTTTGTCCAGAAACGCTTAAGTCGTTGCCGGTCTCTGATTGGTGGATGGGGGGCGCGCTTCGGTTGCCGCCTAATTCCACAACTCGCTCGCTGATACGTGAACCGCCTTCCCGCGACCCTCTTGCTGCTGAGACTTCCCTACCAAGTACTCAGCATGTGATCTTTGGCGCATTATCGCTGACATTGGCGAAGAACAATGCTTTGTCTCATGTCGCGGACATTTCAACTCATCATAAATCAGTAATTTTCACAATTATCAAAACAGGTAGTCCTACAGTTCAGTAATATCGTAGGATACATTTAAAAGAACTCCTGGCTTTATGCCCGGCAAAATATAGCCGCACAAAATTTTAGGAAGAATGCCATCATATTTAAACGCATTTTAAAGAAAATTTAAATTTTCATTTTAAAATCTTCATTAAACGAATTATCTTTCCTGTACGAGTGCATTTTTGTCAGTAAAAAAAGTTCATGAAAATTTGCTAGAATAACATTGAGATTTGATTTTGTTTTGGAGAAAGAAACAAATAACTTAGTAATTAATTTAATTACTTCAATTAAACAAATTCAATTAAACAAAACTTTTTTTAGTTCAATTAAACAAAATTATTAATTTGATTAATTTTAAATTACGTATAAAATTATTTCAGTCTGTTTATTACGTGAAATTCTTCTAAACAATCAAAGATTACTTTTCACCCCCAATAGAGACATAACTGAGTGCTCTATTAAAAATTTCATTTAATTCATAAAAATTAATACCTTTCTGGAACAAGGTTTTTACTGATTTTTACATATTTTACCGATAATCAAAATTAAGAAGCTATTGATTTTTTTTGGGAGCAGTGCTTATGAAAACTTAAAATATTTTTTACTACCGTTATAAATCCTACAATATTAAGTGATCTGTTGTATTTTTTTCCTTCGCATAATTCGCATTCATTCGTTTAATAGCAGAATTTAGTTCAGATAGAATTTCGAAAATCTTTCTATTTTCTTCATTATTATTTAGTTAGAGACTGCATGCAACTGCTACACAACTGAAATAATTTTATATGGACTTTTTTCAGAAGGCGATACTTCCATTTGGGAATATCCGCATCCAAATTATATGCATTCTTTATGTAATATGGATTTGGAAATATATGTATTTGGAATATGGGAGTTGCTATTACATCTAATAGTGAGAGTACTCAATTTAAAAGTGGAGTACTCGTTTAATGGTATAAAAACTGTATGCATATTTTGCTTGTAGGTTGTTTTTCCCTTACTAACCTGTATCGCTTCATTATGCTCCGATTTCTGAATTATTTCCAAGATGTGTTTTAGAACTCTGAAAATGTTTTCACATGAATATTATATTTGTCCTTTCGGCAAAATGTCCTCTCTGAAACTGAGCATCTCGCACCTTATTATGTAATTGCAAAGAAATTGTTTTGAACTATTTTATTAACTAGGTTCAATTTCCGAAAATAGTTGATTGATATCTGAGAACTCAAGATGTGACTGAGATGTGACTTTTAATTTCTATGATTTTAATTATTTTCAGTTCCTCTGATTCAAATCTGAATGCCCCAAATTGTATATTTCCAAAAATAAAGGCTAATAATATGCAAACAGTGAATTATTTAATATAATAATAAATTGCTAATATTTTCAGTGAAATAAGTTGTTTCAAATATCTTCGTTACTCAAGTCGTAACTAAAATAAATGCGCTGTTAAGTAAAATATGAAAAATTATGAATTTAATTTATTATTATTATTATTATTCCTTCTCAGTAACTGTTCTCACTGTCAGATGAAAACTTTAGCAGTTAAAATACTTAATTTCCATCAGAACATCTTTATTACATATGTACTAAAACGTAACTTTGTGAGGAAGAGTATTACGTACAAAAAATATTACGTATTTAAAATAATGTACCAAAACTAAGTATAAACCCCTTTTAATAAGGTAATGCTGATTAAAATTTAATGCTTCATTCTCACACTTTAAACACACATTTTTAACAGGGCGTTCGATGTGGACGAAATTAATTAACAAAATAGAAATAGCGATCAACAACGAAAACGAAACAGTTGATCAGTTCGAAGCATTTTCGGAAAAATTAATTGGAAAAGAAACTGACTTAAATTCTTTAAATGATGAAATTGAAAATCTTTTTCAAAAAATTGGGGGGAAATCGAAACTTCATTCTAAAATAAAGAAAATGAATTCTGATTCTATCCAACTTGATATAGTTTCACAAGACATTCAGTTGATTAATAAGGAAACTGAAAATATAAATATAAAATTGCCTAAATTACATATTAGTAAATATTATGGTAATTATTCTGGTTGGTTAGTTAGACTTTTAGAATTTATTTGAAAGCTCTGTTCATAATGATCCTAAATTAAGCAAAGTTGATAAATTTAACTATTTAAGATCCTATATCGGTGGTACCGCGGCAGCATGTATTAGTGGATTTGCTTTAAGTGATGAAAATTATGATAAAGCACTTGATGACTAGTCATCTTCATTTTATGTCCTGTTGAAGAAATTAGAATATGGAGACGATAGTCACCCTAAAGTAATAACCTAAATTTATGTCTTCTAATTTTGTTAGAATGAATACAAAGAACTTGATACGTGCCTAAATTAAAAGATTTTATAATGAAGTTAAAACTTATTTAGCTTGTTAAATACCATTTTCTACTTGTTAATACCATTACTCATGGTTAAATACCATTACTCATGTAAAAATTCCTATGATAAACTTTAAAGAAATTTTCACATTCCCTCCTATTTGCTTTTACACGCCCGCCTTATAGTCGGAAGATCCAGAATTCGAATCCAGGCTTGGGTATAATCTCTCTGCTTCGAAAAGCCTAATAGATTCTATAGTAGCGTCCATCTAAAATGTGGTGGACTATAATTCTTCACCGCTTGGATATCTTACCTACTTAATAGCTTTTTAAATGGTGGAGAGCATTAAAAATTTTCTTCTTTCACTTTTCTTCCCTTCGAGGTGTAACTGGTAGCACGTACTGCTAGTAACCAGAAGTTGTGAAGTTCAAATCCCAGCCAGAACTCAGGTAATGTGTTTGGCTTCCTACTTCGAAGAGCTTAATAGACTGTAGAAACGAATGAATGTATAACTCCGCTGTGTTATTTTTAATGTTATTCTGAAGGAAGGGAGTATTAGAATATTAGAAATTTACAAAAAATACTAAATTTAATACGAAAGCACTGACTAAATTGCGGGACTACGGGAATAAAAACATTTCATATGCATGATGGTAACAAACTGTGCATCATTTTCAAATTTTCAGCACAGTATTAGACCATTACTACATGTATGGCATTGTCTGATTGCACGATTCCTCTGCATTTGCTGCTCAGAAAAGGGGTTGCAAGCTTTCCTTTGCGAAAGCTTCGCTCGATGAGAACAATTGAAGCTTCAGACAACAATGGGCGCTTGAACACAAAAAAAAAAAAAAAAAAAAAAAAAAAAAATGAAACTCTCACAGGTGAAACCTGTAGATAATCTTGAAGTTGTATTTTCTGGAATTTTCCATTTTAACTTGTAACTCTCACTTAGTCTGCAACTATTGTCTCTTACTCTTCAGACGTTATTGTGAGATATGCTATCTTCCAGGTCAGGTCAAGCTGAAATACAATGTTTAACCATAGGTAATGTGGGTATAGTCAAATACATTAACTATTTACACCACAAAAAACTTCAGAGCTTCACGAGGACACGTCGAGTACCTTAAATGCTGTTGATGCTTTTTGCACTTGCAGAGATTTAGAGCAGTTGGTGCTTTTGCATGCTTACAATAGTTTAGATAAGTTTCTGTGTCCTTCGCAATTATATAAATTTATACCAACTGGTGCTCTCGCAGTTATAGATTTTTATTTTTATAAAACTCTGATAATCCACGCGTAATTTGAATAAAATAATTATTTATATAAAATATTTGTACATCTTGCTGGCTGAACAAGTATGGAATTGGCCTTCATTCGATGCCACAAGTTACGAAAATTCTTATTTCTTGAAACGGTAGTTTCACAAAATCATGATTATATTGATTATGTGCTATTGTTATAGATATACTGCTCTGAAACTTTAATTGTTTATTTGCATTATCATCACTAATATGTATCAGAAATTTCTTCCTAACCTGATTATTCTTTCACTGTGTTACAATTTTCATCAACATGAGTAAATATGAATTATTGAATTCATATTCGATATGACGCAAAAAAATTAAATGAATAATAATTGCAATAATTGTACTGATAATTAATAATAATAAATGTAATAATAATTCATAATAATTACTAATAATTAAAAAGGTTTGAAAGCTTTCAGATTTTACATACACGTTTCGACAGCATTTGGGCTAAAAATATTTAAAAACAACATATCTTTAGAATTTCCGGTAGACAGTTTCGTGCTGTAGTTAAAAAAAATTTTTTTTCCCCCGTACAGTGTTGCCATTGCTCACTTTGAAATTGTTGAGTTTGTTAATGTAAAACTCGTTAAAGTGTAACAAGATATGTAACACTTTGACGAGTTTAACATGTTAAAAAATAAATTCCAAATTTGGGCTTCCAGGTGCCCATGCTAGGGTGGAGAACTACGTAATTCGAAATTTGATGGCTCCAGGTATCGTTGTTTTTTCATAATCCGAGAAAGATACATACATTCATGTAAGGTACTTCATTATTTAATTTCTTTAAATATAATACAGGCCAATAATATTTGGTGGCAACAATTTGAAAAGTGAAACGCACATTTATAGTGAACTGACTCAAAATGCCGTTTCGAAACTAATTACCCTTCTGGGCTAACGCCCCTTTGAGCTAAAAATCTATCAGCATGAATTAGGTACCTGAAAGTCATACCCTGTATAAAGATTTCTTAAATACTGTACCATATGCCGAGATCACAAAATGGCTTTGTGGCGGAAAT